ATGAGGAGGAGGAGAATGACGAAGAGGAAAGAGGATGAGGGGATGTGCGAGAGAGGGAGGGGAACGATGATAAAGAACACACAACAGAGGAGATTAAAAATGGCGGCAGAGTAAGTGGAAGGTACACGGACATGCTCCCAGGACCAAACGAATTACACCTAAAATAAAGAAAAATTCCTGAATAGTCAACAGAAGATTCTCTGGAGAGAACCCTGATAACTGAGGACAGAGTGGAGACCACATAGAGACTGGTAGGAGGGGTGGAGGTGCGAAAGGGCTGGCAGGGCTCCCACAGACAGCAACTGAAGTTCTGAGAGATATCCCAGCTGTGGGGGTTGCCACTGAGAACTGTGGGGTCTAATCCCCAAGCTGGGCCCCCAGCAGAGAGCACCAGAACTGAGGAGGGTACCCACATCACCTCTGGCTGTGAGAAGCAGCAGGGTGGCTGTGAGCCAGGGAGAGACTGGAAATTCCAGCACTCTCTTAAAGGGCCAACACACAAAATTCCCTGTGCAGCCACCCATCTTGTGCTCCAACAGAGGGCGGGCAGAGTGGACTGGAGCTGTGTGAGCAGAAGCCAGGATCAGAGGCTCTGGGATTAGAGCTCAGAAGGCAGACACCCCAGCTTCCTGTGCTGAGTCATTCCCTCACACTGCGGAGGTCATCTTTCTCACACAGACATTTGTTATACAGGTGACCTGGCCTGGGGGGAAGACAGTTGATCCACCCTATTGGAAAATGCCTTGCACCACAGTGCAGAGTTTCTGAGGCCCATTAAGAGACAGGATAACAATAGCATCCAGGCAGAAGCAATTGCCCCACCTGTTGAAAACACTCTTGCCACACCTGTGGATGATTGCCTGAGGGCAATTCAAGACAAAATCCTATCAGTCTGTAGACAGAGATGATTACTGGAGGCTTTGAATCTTGCCTGATCTAATTAGTCAGAAACAGCATTTGACACAGTCCTGCACTAGAGATTGAGAGGCATAGCAGATTTACCTAATACACAGTCACAAACCCAAACAGGCAGCCAAAATTGGGAGGCAAAGAAACAAACTCCAAATGAAAGAACAAGAGAATTCTCCAGAAGAGATAAATGAACCAGAGATAAGAAATTTATGTAGTACAGAATTCAGAATAATGATGGTAAAGATGTTCAATAGCATGATAAAAGATATAGTAACTATGAAAACAGAAATAAAGAATGACATAGCACAAATAAAGAATATATTGGAAGGAATAAACAGCAGATTAGGAGAACCTGAGGACTGAATCAATGAATTAGAAGACAGGGTTGTAAAAATAACTCAATCAGCAAACCAAAAAGAAAAAAAAAACAATTAAAAAACAGGAGGACAGCTTAAGGGAGCTGTAGGACAAGGTGAAACATAACAATATTCGAAAAGCAGGTGTGCCAGAAGTGGCAGAAAGGGAAAAAGGGATAGAAAACGTGTTTGAAGAAATAATGGCAGAAAACATCCCTAGCCTGGTAAAGGAAAAAGTCACACAAGTCCAGGAGGAACAGAGAACCCCAAACAGGAAAATCCCAAACAGGCCCACACCCAGACACATCACAATTAAAATGCCAAAAATAAAAGACAAAATGAGAATCTTAAAGGCAGCAAGAAAAAAGCAAACTGTTAGCTACAAAGAAGCTCCCACAAGGCTGACAACTGATTTCTCATCAGAAACTCTACAGGCCAGAAAGCAATGGCATGAAGTACTCAAGGTAATGGAAAGCAAGGATCTGAGACCAAGATTACTATATCCAGCAAGGCTATCATTCAAAATAGACAGTCAAATATAGAGTTTCCTGGACAAAAAAAGACTAAAGGAGTACCACCAAGCCAACATTATAATAAATGCTAAAGGGACTGCTGTAATGAGAAGAAATAGAGAGAGAAACCCAGGAATACACAATTAAAATGGCAATAAATAATTACCTATCCATAATAACCTTAAATGTTAAAGGATTAAATGCTCCAATCAAAAGTCATAGGGTAGCTGAATGGATAAGAAAACACGACCCATATATCTGATGTCTACAAGAGACCCACCTCAGAACAAAGGACTCACACAAACTGATAGTGAAGGGATAGAAAAAATTTTTTCCAGGTAAATGGAAATGAAAAGAAAAAAAAAAAAAAAGCTGGGGTAGCAACAGTTATATCTGACAAAATAGACCTCAAAGTGAAGGCCATAACAAGAGATAAGGAAGGCCACTTCATAATACTAAAGGGAGCAATTCAGCAAGAGGATATAACTCTGGTAAACATATATGCACCCAATACAGGAGCACACAAATACATAAAAAAACTTCTGGAAGATATCAAGGGAGAGATCGCCAGCAATACAATCATAGTAGGGGACGTTAATAACCCATTGACACCACTAGATAAATCCTCTAAACAAAAAAATCAGCAAAGAAACATTAATTCTAAATGACACACTAGATCAGATGGAATTAATTGACATCTTCAGAACATTGCACCCCAAAGCTACAGAATATACATTCCTCTCAAGTGCACATGGAATATTTTCAAAGATAGACCAAATATTGGAACACAGGCAAAGTCTCTTCAAATTCAAGAAGATAAAAATCCTATCAAGCATCTTCTCAGACCACAATGGCATGAAATTAGAAATCAACTACAATAAAAATAATGAAAAAAATCAAACACTTGGAAGCTGAATAGCATGCTATTAAACAATGATTGGGCTACCAAAGATATCAAAGAAGAAATTAAAAACACCCTGGAAACGAATGACAATGAAAACACAACAATCAAAAATCTATGGGTCCCCTGTGAGGCTGAGACGGTCCCTGTGAGGCTGCGACGGCCCCTGTGAGACTGAGACGGTCCCTGTGTGGCTGAACACAGGGACACGTCACAGATGGAAATAGCTACATTTTCCATGTGTATGACCCGGCAACAAAAAGCGTACACCTATGGATGAGGACAGTGGGGGGTAAGGGCAGAGGGTGGGGTGGGAACTGGGTGGAGGGGAGCTATGGGGGAAAAAAAGGGGAGCAACTGTAATAATCTGAACAATAAAGATTTATTAAAAAAAATCTATGGGACACAGTGAAAACAGTCCTGAGAGGGAAGTTTATAGCTCTACAGGCCTACCTTAAAAAACAAGAAAAAATGCTAATAAGTTATCTAACTCTACAACTTAAAATAATTAGAAAGAGAACAACAAGAAAAGCCAAGAGTGAGCAGAGGGAGGGAGACAATAAAGATCAGAGCAGAAATAAATGACATAGAGACCAAAAAAACAATACAAAAGATCAATGAAATCAAGAGCTAGTTCTTTGAAAGGATAAACAAGATTGATGAACCTCTGGCCAGGCTCACCAAGAAGCAAAGAGAGAGGACCCAAATAAACAAAATCAGAATGAAAAAGGTGAGGTAACAACAGACCCTATAGAAATACAAAGGACTGTAAAAAACAAACAAACAAAAAAAAACTAAGAACAGACAACTCCATTCCAACAAACTGGACAACCTAAAGGAAATGGACATATTCCTAGAAAAATACAACCTTCCAAAACTCAATCAGGAAGAATCTGAAAACCTGAATAGGCCAATAACTACTGATGAAATTGAAACAGTAAGCAAAAATCTTCCAGCAAACAAAAATCCTGGTTCGGACAGCTTTATAGGGGAGTTCTACCAAATACTCAAAAAAGAACTAAAACCTATCCTCCTCAGACTATTCCAAAAAATTCAACAGCAAGGAACACTTCCAAGCTCATTCTATGAAGCTTAGATAAAGTCAAAGATAAAGACAAAACCAAATAAAGACACCACAAAGAAAGAGAACTACAGGCCAATATCCCTGATGAACA